TATGAATTCTAGTGTGTGCGTATTAATGTGCAAGTTGCATTGCAAGAGCATAACAATTAGGAAACATGACGAATGCACGTGCGTTATACACTTTAGATTAAACCCACTAATTGCTTACGTTTCAGTGGTACAATTATGATACGATAATCGTAACAAGCCGTGGCAACCGTAGAATACAATCATTGTTTTGTAATAAATTGAAAATAAATTCAACCAAGAAATATTTCCTTCTTTGCTCCATTTTTAAATCCATTTATTCGTCGAATCATTTTATCTAACAAATCTTTTCTTACCGTTCTAAAAAAGAACATCTATTTTTACTTATTCATTTATTCAAAATAATAGAATTTCTTTATGGGGGAAATTTTCTATTTTTCTCTTTACCCAAAAGTTTAAACTTTCACTCTATTTTTTTTCTTCCCCTATAATAATCATTTCTATAATACAAAAAAATATTAATAACTTTTCTAACGAAAAAAAAAAAAATGAAAGATTTTGGATTTTAGATTTCGCATTTCTTTCTCGTTTCTTCGATCGTGTTTTTCTTCCACTTATCGAAAATTAATATCCAATCTCGTCGAAATGTGTGTTAATAGTCGAACCCATCCTCATCCGCTCCGCCGGAAACCGAGAGCGGCGCATCTCGGTCAGGCTTCCGGCGGCCATCGACTTATTTGCAGAATGGCGCCGGTCGTAGAGCATCTTAAGAAAGGGAATCGAGGGTCGCGTTTCGGTGTGTCAGCATCTGAAAAACTCTGTTCCATGCGGTGTCGCGTGTGGCCGAAGCTCCTTAAGGCTGCGGTCAGATTCGCTTTAAGTGCATTAAGTAAATCCACTTAGATCGAATCTTATATAAAACATGGGCTAATCAGCTTTAAAGGGCTGCGCTCCCGGACGCGTGTTCAAAGGAACACCATCTCACTCCGATCATCTGCCCTCCTTTGCATTTTCGACACCTCGATTGATGATTCGTTTTTCCGCAATTGTGATCTTTCGTTCAGATTAATCCGTATCTAAAATGTTCACCTTCAAATGGTAACTTCGTAATATGGTGTGTACGACACACAATTCATCTTATTTTTCTCTTTGGATTTTTAACTTCGTTTCTAAAAAGTTTCCATTGATTTTTTGGAAATTTGCTCGAGTAAAATTCCTCGTCTTTTCCTTTTTTGGAGAAGAATGACACGATATTAATGATTAATAATGATTTGAACTCTTGCCGAGTAATATGATGACTTATATTTGAGCAAGGTATCATTCCATTGAACAATATAGTCTCAATTGCAGGAAATTATTTATTGGAAACTTTTAAAACAAGATCGAATCACCATAACTGTAATTTACGTTGAAGCATTAAAACGGATAACATGCATCGTTAAACGGATAACACGAGAATAACTTATATTAGCGAACTAGTAAAAAAAAAAAAAAAAAAAAGAGAGAGATCGTACATTACGATATTCTCCTTATATATAGCGAAAACTGTACTCGTAAAATTTTTTAATTAAATGAAGTTTGTTTGTTAATTTCATTTCCATGTGAATTATTCTCTTATCCTATTTCATTCTTTAAGCTACATCTTTCCTTATAATATTCAACTTGTTCCACCATATACGGTATTCAAACAATATGTTCTTATATGAATTCTAAGACCGATTATCTAAACTCCAACTGAGCTCCTATTATCCGAACATTGTCACTTATATCTACATCAAGATGTTGATGTATTCGTGGAATACTTTCAGAGTGTCGAATATAAAATTTCTCTGTTTAAAAAAGTTCATACGTAACTCGCTACGTCAAATAAAAGATAAAACGAAGATAGAGCGAGATCTTCTGTCTCTGTCACACCGCCATCTCGCTCCATCACTGCCTCCCTTTATCCAACGCCGCAAACATAAATTATAACTTAATAAATAACCAACATTTCATACCAACCTCCCGTAACACATTATTGCAAAAATATTTCGCATAAGCAATGTCCGCGAAATATTCGTCTTTATATAACCTATCCATCTCGAAGAAACAGGCCGACAGAATTGTTGTTGAAAAAAAATCCTCTCGTACAAAGAGCGATCGCCATTCTTTCTCCCTCCCCTCCTACTATTTTCCAAGGTGTTGGAAGAGAGAGAGTGAGAGAGAGAGAGAGAGAAGAATACCGTTGACACTTGGACACCGTGCGAAATATCGTCGATAAAATCGGGGAGGGGGGGGGGGGGGGAAAAAAAAAAGAAAAGAAAAGAGATCGATCGATGGCACAATCGATGCAACACAGGCATGGAAACGGATTGGAAACGGGAACAGAGAAGAGAGTTGGACGGCCCAACTCTCCCCTCCCCTCCTCGCTCTGTTCTGGTGTTTGAGAAAAGGAGATCGGTAAAAGCCCTCTTCCTGAAACGCGCGCACGTGAAACGATGGATTCGCGGATTCTGCGTTCGAGGACGAAAAGTAGCGAAAACGTTGGTGGATCGATGGATGGATGGATGGTGGAGTGAGCGGGCGTGTAAATGAAACGGCCGGAGATTCGAGGCCCCCCCCCCTCCTTCTCTGGATTGGAACCGTTTGAAAGGGAGCAGTTGAGATTGTTGGACGAAGTAATGGTTCGGGAACGCGCTTGTTTGAGGATAGTTGAATTTTATATCGATCGTGCTCGAGCTGTTGCCTCCTACCCCTCCTCCGCATTTTCTTCCGCGTGACGGAGCAGGGAGATGGAGCTAAGTTGGATAGACGCGACGATTGATACGCGAGGAATGATTAGTTTCGTGTTTTTCTTCTTTTTTTTTTTAATCGTACGTGAGAAACTAGGATTTGAAAGGAGCTACTCATTGGAAGGCAGTTCACAGCCAGTAATAATTGGAATTTTCATTTGGGACGTAATGTATCGTGAAATTGAGGATTTGATAGATGAAGTAACTTTTCAAGTAACGATTGAAGAAACAACGAAATATTTTTGTGTGATTTTAAAATTTCGTTTGAAAGTTGACTCGATGCGTTTCAACGTTGGAAAAAAGAAAAAAAGGGAAAAGAAGAGAAGAGAAATGAGCGAAAGAAAATGCATTAGGGATTAAACCGGGTAATTTGAATATCGAGGTGATTGAATTGTTCGGGAAAATTCTTCAAATCGCCCCTATTATTCAGACAGATTGAGATCGTTCGAAGAACTTGCTTAATATAGTTTGGCTAATAGCACAAATCGGTTAGAACCACTCGAAAACCAAGTGACCCGTGACATATTGAGCCATTGTATTAAGTTGAAGAATCTTTTTCTTCAAAAAGAATAGAAATAGAAAATTGAATCTCGTTGAGATATGGGATACGTAGATCTTATTATTTATATATTCGATAATTTCTTAATATTCATTCAAGTATTAAGTATTATTATTGAAAAAATTCAATAATTTTATATTGTTCCATGTTCCATAATTCGATTCTTTGCAAAAGAATTAAAATAATTCATTTTTTTTTAAATTGTTCTTGAGCCTTGTGCTTTCTTCACAATCTCTTCATTTTCAGGAATACAAGATCGTAAAGAATAAAATGTATATGAAAAATACGAAAGTAACGAGATGGTTCCCCTCGTCATGCACATCGCTTAACTCATGCAGAACTTATTTGTCCATTTTCTTTACTTTTCCTATCTGGGTCAAGTAACGAATAATGGCAGACTGGTTTAGTTTCATATAAAACAGTATATATATATCTCTCTCTCTCTCTCTCTGTTCACGAGAATTACTTTCAATAAAACTCTTTCGAAACGTCATTCTCGATGGTATTTGGATTATTCTCTGTTGAAAGACCGATTTGAATTGAGATCTTGAATTTCATCTAAATAGAAGAAAATTCAACTATCTTAAAATTTACATAAATTTTCCTCGAATACGAAAGTTTATTCTTTCGGTGAATTTTTTTTTTTTTTGTTTTAAAAATATTTTAAATTCAAAATTTAAACAAAGAAGATATCGATTGCATTGATCGTAACTTTTTGATAACTTTTCTTATAACTTTTTTTTTTTTTTTTTAATATCCAATATATTTATCATTTTAAAGTATATTTAATAAAATGAACTTCTTAAATGCCAGATTTTTTTTTATGCCAGAGTAGCACGCGGAATAATCCAAGGTTCTTATAATTATCAACCATCTATGAGAGCAATCTGTTGGAAACCGTATATCTGAGAGTTAAATCGAGACCTGTTACTATTTTTAACCCTTTCAAAACAGATTTTTCTCTTAGCAAAGACTTGTTATGTATAATTTATTTAAGAAGAAATTTTGCATATTATAAGCTATGTATAAATAAAGAGTAAACAATTTATTATATTTTTGGACTGTTTTATTGATAATTAATTAAAATTAGTTTACTAGCTTGGATTTTGTTTATTGCAATAAGAATGCAGATCTTATTTTTTGCATGTAATCAAGAATAACTCCAAATTATAAAAATTCATAAAAAATTGAAATAAAGATCAACTTGATAATTATCTATTATTGTATGAAAGTGTATATTTCTTCAATTTTTTTTTTTAATTTTCCTAAAATTCTTATAAATGATTATTCAAAAAATGTGGTATTTATATTCATTTCAAGTGAGATATCACGTTCCAATAGGTCTCTTGTTAGTAATATCGCAAAAATTATAACAATAAATTTCTACAATAGTTACTTTGGGATTTGTTATCCTATTAATCTCAAAAAGTTTAAATTCTATATGGTTATCAAAGGATTGTATTGCATTTATCTATAATATATTGATGTATAAATATCTGAAATCTAATTATGATATTTTTCCTATATTTTTAACTGACCTACAATTTAATTTCTATAATCTAATCCATTTAAAAAGTTTATTAGAAAATTCCCAAAATTAAAACTCTACAAATATGCTAAAATTCATATCTATCATCCAAAGGATATCCAATAAAATAAACACACTTCTAACTGCATAGAACAAGAGCCACCAAGCAATCAGAACGCAATCAAACTTATTTAAAACACAATAGAAGCAGAACTCAGGTAGAACTCAATCAAAACATTTAGATTTCAAATCAAAACTTGCATATAACTCTATACTCAATATACAAGTATTATGTATACATCTATATCTCAATACGTATGATTTCAATTTCGATATTTACCTTTATTAAACACGAAGTTAAAGAAAATTATTTCAATACGAGTGAAAATTATTTTCTATATCTCTTCCTTATTTTTTTTTTTCCATACCATAAATAAAACAAGAAAATTTACTTGTTCATCTAATACGGATATATTACAGATATGATAATTAATACAATAACACGATACGTAGACACGTATCATCCTAGATACATATTTAGAAACTTGCATATACAATTTTGCATTGCAGTAACGCATGTTCAATATTAATTCTCGATTATGGAACTCGTTATATATATATATAAGATAATATTATTCACAGGCTGGTGTAATTACGATACGAAGCTCATTACACGGTGTTCGTGCGTAGACTGAACTTACTAATGTTTACATCTTACAACAGATTATTATTTCAGTCGATCTCTACATCACTTCGAATAATTTTATCTCGATCTGTCTCTATATATGATAATATACATTACCTTTGTTAATATTTGTACGAACATCTGAGTGAAATTTATATAAAATTTATTAAATAAAATTATATGAAATATGTATCGCAATACATATTTATATATTATTTTAATATACAGTAAAATAATGAATTTCATCTGGTATTCTAAGTGGTGGAAATTCAGCGTTGGATTATAAAATATATGTTGGATTATTGGAGGTTTCGTTTTTTTTTAAAATTTGTGAATGTTTTTTTGATTCATCGATCCAATTATAATAAAATTTAATTAAATTTTCGAAACATGAATTTATATTAGAAAAATATTTATTATTTTTTATATAGATCAAATAAAAATAGGCATATTTAGGACAGTTTTATATTTACAAAATAAATTATGCAGTATCGACAATGAGAAAGTTAGATAAAATAAATCTCTCGAGAGCCTATTTTTATCGTTTAAATTTTAACAGCATGCGTTCCAGTATTTTTGTGAATAGAGGAAAAAAAATATAATCTGGATTTTCCTCATATTTTGATAAGCCCTGTTTTGAATATATATATACATAATGTCAATGGCAGAAACGAATAATATCATGTTAAAAGTAAAAAGGAATATTAAAAATAAAAAAAAAAAATAAATTGATATCCTATATATATATAATTGTATATAATAAATAAATCGAATAAAAATATGTTTTAAATTTACGAGAATATTTAAATATATTAGAAATTTATTACGTTAAATTGGACGAGTAATAATTTTTTTATAAAAATATGATTATGAATTTAGTTGATCGTAGATGTGTTTGTAAAAAACAAATGATAAGTTTTCATAACAACAAAATAAAATCAGCATCGGTCGTTAAACAATTTTTAATATGTTAAATTATTTAAAATATTTTATTGAACACACTATGTATCTTATAAATTTTATAAAAATTTAATATCTTAGTTCTTTTAATTTAAAAAAAATTCCAATGTAAATATTAAAAGAGTTTTCAAAACTTTCACGAAAAAAAAAAAATTAAAAGTTTATAATATCAAACAGGAGATTATTAAAAAGTTGAAAAACATTGAAAATACGATCATTAACAACGAAGAAAAATTTTTTTGCAAAGAAACTCTTTTTACAAACTTTCATTTTTAAAAAGTACAAATTACATACCTTTTCTAATTATTGTACGAAATATCCAATATTATTCTAAATATAATAATATTTTTAACAGAATTGTTTCAAATCTAACAAAATTTTAATAAAAATTTATAAAAAGTTTATGCTATAAAACTTATTGTTTAAAGACAAAAAATTATTGAACTTTGAACTGTTCAATTTTTTTCACCTTTTTTTCCATTCAAGATATAAAAAAAATTTATATTTTATATCTAAAAAATATTGTTGCGCAAAAAATCGTTTTTCATAATTCGTTTTACATTAAAATTATTTTCAATATCCGAAATTTTCGATTATACGCGAGGCACGTCCTCTCCGTTCGGCGTTTCGGCAACGAATGTTAAACGTTTATTGATATCTTCGACCGTATTCTTCGACTACATTTATCGATATCGACCGTGTTTTCGTTTTCTATATTACGATTTATATTAATTTTAATGTTATAAATCGCAATAATATTAATTTTAATATTAATTAATAAATGCATTATATTTACAATTGCATAAATTCTTGATAATTTGCATCATTTTTAAAATAAATATAATATAAAACTCAATTGTTTTCATAGCAATAAATATGACGATATCATTATATATAATTTTATATTATTTTTTTTTCCCTTTTAATACGAAGTAGTAATTCGCGCAAATTATTATTCATAGAATAAATTAATATAACAAAATTAAATCAAAGTCATTAAAAAAAAATAAATATTAATTTTATTATTAAATAGAGAATATATATATATATATATTCGTTTGTTCATTCATTTCATATCAGATATACGGAATCATAATTTTTAACTAGTTTAATAAATTTTGTAAAATTTATTCCTTAACTTTGTGCGTGAATTCAGATATTATTTAAATAAATTATTTTCACTCGATTTTAATATATCATATTTTAAATAATTTATTAATAATTTATTAATTTAAACTTTAAAAATTTTACTATTATTTATTACCACTATACTATACCTCGTACCAATTATGATTAAACAAATTAAAAATTTATTATAATAATATTTTATCATAAATATTTATTTGAAATAATTATTATTCGAAATCATGAGAATGTTCTTACTTAAACTCGGAATAATATAAAAATCAACTCGTTCCCTGTGCTAATCAAACACTGCGATTATTCACTTCCTCTTAAATAAATACTTTAACAGATATACATCTCCGAAAATTGCATTCCTGACAGTTAGTTAATTGCAACAGCTTACTCAACAGCAGAGATTCGCATAATCGATTCGACCTTTAAACTTTATTGTTATATCGGATCAAGCCAAAAATTATACAGATCCATTTTTACATCATTTATTACGACATTCACGATATATCTTCATATCTGCATTCTGAAAATATATCTTTTTTTATTTTACAAGATTCAAAAGGATAGAAAAAATGAAATTTACTGCGATGCTATTAAATTGATTTGATTTAAGTTTCTATTTTTATACTTCTTACAAAAATTTTACATTTTCCATTTTGTAAAGAATTTAAAGAAGAAATTGTAGGAATGAAATTTATTTTAATTTACATTGGCATTAAAGAGCATGGAAAATTCGAAATAACAAATCGAAATAAAATTAAAAATAAAAACTTACGAGTAATAAATTGAAAGATATACGTTTTGATAATTTTAAAATCGAATTTTAAAATCGAATATAGATTGGTGAGAAATAAATGACCGATTGACGTTTAAATATCTAATTCGTTGTAATTCGTGTGTTTTGTTTTTCATTTATTTTTTCCACGAAAAAATATTGAAAAAATAATATATATATATATATATTTTAATTCCCTCGAGTAAATAAATTTTTCGAAAGTTTTTAGTTATTACGATTTTTATAGAAAAATTTTTTTGCCTCGAAAAATAACCGACATATTAAAAAATGTAATAATGGCGCAATATATATAAAAGATAAACGTGGAAAACGAGTAAAAGCTCGCTGAACTTTGCATATCGATTCAATCAGTTTTTTCCGTAATAATTTTTTATATGCAAGAGCTGGCTTTATTGTTTATACCGAATAAATTTCAGCTTAGCCTCAATGAATTTATTTCAAAAATATAATATAAATCAGAATACCATATTATTCTGCAAAAACTATTTTTTTCTATTAATTTTACAAAATCTGTATGTAATGTAACAATCTTTGTAATAGAAATAGATACTTTTATATTGTTATATAAAAAAAAAAAAATAATATAATTTGCTTTAAAAATAAAGATTGTCGATCAATATATAATCAATGTGTGACAATAATTAAATCTACAATTTTATTTTTTTTGTTATATTATGAGCTTGATATTATTAAAATTTATTTAATATATATATATATATATACATATATTGTAATAAAAAAGTAAGATATTTTAACTTTTATTTAAAAATGTATTAAATTGTATCTTTGCTTTATAACTGGTCTAAAATATTTTATCAACAAAATAATAGAAAAATAATAAAAAGAATATAATCATTATATATCTGCATAAATATTTA